TTTGTTCCCCCCCCCCCCCCATTATACTGAGTGCAGCAGGTTTTTATTTTCAAATCACCAAATAAAATAAAGAGCAAAAAACATGTGGCTGGAGCTGCAATAGCTGAGTATTTTTTTTAATGCTTTTCCTTTGTTGGCTGGAGAGAACATTGGCTGGATCATATGAGTTCTTAGGATTCTGAGACTGACTATAGTGTGCTAAGGAGAAATGCTATCTGGGACTATTAAAGCTGGGCTGCAATAAACTGGATGACCACTAGAGGGTAGCAAAGAGATATCAAAAATTAGCTAAATGTTCCCATTTAGCAGTTGAATTAATTTTTGCAAGCCAGATGTAGTTCTAACAAATGCAGATTTACTTTAAAGTGCTTTGGTGAGTTTGGGAAGTAGAAATGTTGAAGGTCTAACAGCAATCTAAGCAATTTATTTTCTTTGCTTACCATAATTAGCACCTACTGTATCCCATCTACTGACCAGTATAATTGAAACAACCTAAAAATCTCTGTCGGACCTGGTTCTTCCCCACCCCCCACCCACATAACATACAATTTCTCTATCTCATTTGCAACTGGTAATGTTGAGAGAATTAGACTGAGATTTTCTGAGGCTAAGGAAAGGAATTCAGAATAAGGTGGAATTCACTGTCAGTTCTTTATCACCACCATCTCAGTCTCACAAATGCACATATACCATCTCCATAAATTATTCCACCTTACTTCATTTAGCAAAGAAGTAGATGTAGATGACATTTGTGTAGCTGAGGTGAGGTAGACAGTCACAATTTATAGAAAAATATTTTGGCAACCAAAGGCCATGGTGGTGATAACATGTTACCAAGAGTAAGTGGCAGGATTTTCATTCTATTACACACAGACACACACTTCATTTGAGTGGCTTTAAATGATGCAGTAAGTTTTTCAAGGCTTTGCACACCTATCTGATTACATGTCTCATGGAAAATAGGCACTTCTTTTACTCACCAGTTTCCTGGGGTGTGTGGGGACTCTAAAACAAAGTGCTAGCAACCATATGTGACTCCAAAGCTATGAGTTGCCCATTCCTGCTTCAGCATTATTCTGATAGGTGATTCATACTGAAATATAAGCAATAGGATGCGTTATACATCCCTAAAAATAATAATAGAATCATAGAGTTGGAAGGGCCCTTTAGGCCATTGGGTCCAATTTCCTGGAACAATAGCCAACATTGTTAATATGGCTACATATGCATACCAACCTCATTTGGAGTCTTCAGCAAATCAGATAAGTTGATGAAGTCCTTCCTGACCTTTTGGTGATTAAACTTCTGCAGGTGTTTGAGAGCTTAATGTATTTGATGTCTGAAGGGCAGTATCCGTGTTTGATCATGCAGATCTGTGTACAAAGGTATGAGGGATGTAACTTCAGTGTTTTCATGTACAAAAGCCAGACCTACTTCAGTGCACATGACATTTAGGATGTCAAGTCTTGATCTTTTCTATATATCATTGCAGTTGTCAAGCTGGCTATCTTACCATTCCTGTCCACAAACTTAAAGCATCTGATTTTCTTACTGTGAAATCAATCAAACCTGTATGTCATTGTCTGAAGCTCATCTTTCTCCAAAAATCCTGAAAAACACTTGTCATGTTTGATATTATTCATTAAGCCCAATGTTTTCATTCAAATGGCTATTTGAAACTTGGATGCCTGGTATATAAATGAATACCTGCTGTCAGGAATTCAGTGACATATCTTAGTGACGTTTAATTCAAACTTCTTTTATTTTGCTTTAAAAACATCAGAGTATCAGACAGGATACTGGTGCTGAGAAGAACTGATAATTTGTTGCTTTCTTATAGTTGTGTTATCAATGCAGGCTATACTAAAGTTCCTGCTCTATGAAATCTGCAATGAAAAATGTAGTAGCAAAGGGAGGAGGGTTAGCAATTTCAGGCAAAGAACCAGGGAAGCAGGCATTTCATACTTCCATTATTGTTACTCTATTCATCCAATCAGTTGTGTGTGGAGGGGAGAGCTCAGCTACTATCCCTTCATCTTAGTTGATGTGGTAAGCTACAAGAAAAGAGGTCTTATTGGTACTGCCATGGAAAGCTCTTCCTAGAGCAGACTGTCCAATGCAGGCCTGCACAACTTGAAAAGAAGAAAGGGCCACATTAATAAATAAAAAATCATCATGGGCTGCCAAGCAATACCTGGCATGCTGATCAACTGTTTGGAGACTAGTGGAACAGTGGCAGTGCTGGAGCTGGTGGCAGCAGTGAGGCTTGGAGGTGCTCGGCAGCACATCTTTTGGGGCAGTAGTGGGGGTGAATTAATTACTTTTTTAAAAGTGCTGGTGGGCTACACAAGGTTGTTTGGCAGGCCACATGTCCAGATCTGGTCTAATGCCTACTATTAGGCAATCTTCCTTTAATCTTAGATCTTTGAATCTAAGAATAGAAGAATAGAAATAGTTCTTTTTATTTTCCCAAGATGTTGAGATGGTATTTTCATCCTGATCACTGCCTGATCCCACTTTTGTTTCCTTGTGGCCTTTGTTGTCATTTTTAAAAACAGTTTAATCCTATCATTGAAAACTCATATCAAGCTACGTAATCTAGCACTTCTTTTTCTCACTTTTTTTTTTTTACATTTTTAGCTCTACGTACTTTTGAATATAATACTTATGTAACTTAATGATTTGTTGCATGATTGCATTTGGTTCTTTATGTACAGATAAAATTGTTCTTTAAAAAAAGGTAACATGAAATAAACAAATGACTGTTTACTCACATATTGTTTTGCTACTGTAAGTTTAGGCAGTTACAGATATTTATTTATTTATTTATTTATTTATTTATTTATTTATTTGGTGGACTTGTCCCCGCCCATCTCCCCACAATGGGGGACTCTGGGCAGCTTACATCAAATTAAAATCATAAATACATGATTAAAAATCATAAAAGAACCACACTTACAGAGATAAAAAAGAGAGTAAAAGATCCAAGAGGCCGATAGAGGCCACACCAGGCCGCTAAGGGGCTAGCCAACCCCATTTCTGACATCCTCC